ACCCTCATCCCTCCCCGCAATGCTGGGTGCATGTCTAACGCGTTCGGCGCCGACGCGGAACAGCCACTTTAAACTGCAAAAATAAACTGTACGCTGAACGCTCTACCAATGATACAGGGGCGCGCTCTTTGGCGGAAGTGAATTCGTCACTGCAGCTTTTAGTAAGCTCGCGTTACCAGATCGTATCAGTAATCCAATTGGCGCTAGCTACATAATCCGAAGTAGTTGCTAATTTCAATGCGGCCTCTTAGGAATACTATCTACCGACCGTACTTTAATCATTCCAGCCGCAGTTTGTTGCAGTCTCATAGACCCAACAGAATAACCTGAAAAAAGCCTCGTAAGGTGACTGAAAGGAAATTCAGGAAAAGCATGCACAAGTAACCTTTTCCAATTGTTTTTCTCTCAGAGCAAGAGCAAGCTCGTTATTGTCCATCAGAGAGGAATAGGCGACGTCCAGCGGGCAGGTTCCTCTTAGGCTGGGTCGAGCTAAAAGGGAAGAAAATAAGAATGCAAGACAAACCAGTAATGTCATTCCAATCAGTTTAAATCTACGAAGTTATGAGACCTTAAAAATTCGTATAAGGTAGTGTGGACTCGGTTCAATGATCCATCATCTAACGACTGTCCATCCCTCCTTGACTCTCAGAATACCTAATTAGAAAAGAATTAAGCACCTACCCTGCCAACGGTTAAAAAGGCGTAAGGTTGTCTGTTTGGTTATGTTAACTCGGGACAGAATTCCAAATAGAAAGCTAAAACTGCATATATTAAAACCTAATGACTACAAAACGTGGATTGGAAATAAAACTTGCGCAGTCAGTAAATGAGCGAACCAGGGCATTCTCAAGTCACAGAACCTCAGAATTTGCGCCTTTCTTCTCTGTCATCGGGACAAGCCCATAGATTGCTTCACGAGACTAGACCACTTTCTATTCTGGCAACCAAAGCAAGTCTAACGGAACAGCCGTCAGATCATAAAGCAGAAGGGTCTTGGGAGTCACGCAGGGGCTATCGGTCATTAACACGGTTCCGTTGTCAGCTCCCCGTAGTTAAGGAAATAAACGCCACTTCAGAGAGTTGACAGTTCGACTCCGCTCTGGGCAACTGTTTCTTGGTTCTAGGCCTTACATTTTTTATCTTCTGTTGTGAGAAAAATCGCCTCTATAGCACTTGGACACTTCCAGCTGTTCTAAATATTCAACAGGTTATGAAAGATGGGTGTGTAAAACTTGCAACGATCACAAACTGTGGACTCATGGGCGCGATTCATGATGTTGCTAAACATCGTCAAGATATTCCTAGACTATTCCATGACAATTGTATCAAGTAGGGAAACATCCGACGGAATCTACAGAATATCGATCGGTGATATGATAGCAACTATGAAAAGGTTATTACTTACAGCCGGAAGGTGTGCACAATAACTTCGTATTTCATGGTTTTCCCATGAGCAGAGGTATAATTTTCAACTAATGGAATTCACACGTACTTCTTGTAGTTGATGTACAACTGAACAGAGATAAGTAACCTTCGGCCAAATGGCAATACCAAGAACGACCAGAGAGACTGGAATGGCCATTTCAGCCGCCAGTCATACCCAATCCCAAGGTTTATAGCCCCTAAGACTCGAGATGACATAAGGAATATTGACAGAGGTAAGGCAAACTGGAACGGTCGTTTCTAACTTATTAGACGTCGCCCGCAGGCCGTAGTCCAACTCCGCGCGTACCTAGGCCCAATTCCGAGCCTGTACACTTTGGTCAAACACTCTACCCTTGAACCACCGGTTTGCTGTCCTCTCGGCTGCCATTGGAAATCTTACTTACTCCGGGAGAGATGCATAATCGATCAAATTGCATCAAAACTCCGACCTAGAGCCTTCGCGGACGACTAGCAGTAATGCAGAAAAAAAACCGACGAATTCGGAGAGGACTAGGATGGTCATTTCTATCTCGGTAACCGTAGTTACTCAGGTATACACCGAACACAGACATTTTGTGTTATCTCTTGCCCCTTACGAAGACTCTAGATTTGGGCTAAAAGGCAGATAAATTTAGAATGCTAAACTTCAATATCAGTTCGTGAAATTCCAAAGAAAAATTTGTGGGTATGAAAATTAAATTAGGTGAATAGGCCAGTATCTCCCGAAAGCGTCTAAAAAGCCTTACATTAAAAACTCTTGCAATTAAGTATATTTTAAAGACCACATGCTTGCACTAGCCTCTAGTACGGTGGGCTGGCCTTATATATAACAAATGGGCCTACTAAAACTACACGGATTGTAATTAAGAAAATAATGCTCAAAAGATACCAGCACATGTCGAATAATGAGGCCCCTTCCCACAAACCTTTATGCGTGCGCGCCACGCCCGTGCAGAGATCGTACGACTGAGAATCTATGCTATACATTTCTGAACTTTAGAGGGAGTCGTCCATTTGTAAGCTAGCGAACTTCCGCCAATGACGGAGCCGTGTGGTCAGGCAA